AATTTGGAATACTATCCATACCGTGTCCCATCTATCTTGTATTGTGTGTGTTAGTTTTGCTTATGCCATCTAAGATATGGTACTTATGTCTACGGCTTAGGCATAAACGTAGACATAGATACAGACACACACACACAAACACACATGTATATTTGTTAAGATGTAAATCTATAAAAACAGCAAGATTTTTCCACAATACATACGTTTCTTTTGGGAATAATACGGCAACTTGATACTATCATTTGGTGACTTTTATTTTATCAGAGAAATCTCTGTCCACTTTAAATGACTCTTTCTTTGGGAATTACAATAAAAATGAACAAAACAAATAAAAGACTGAAGCTATCCCCAGATCTTTATCCACGTCTCACTGAAGCAAATGCTGTTTACTTTCCTGCTTCTTTTTTCACGTTTTGCTTTGAGTAGCCTGCCCCACTGCTGTGCTTCTAGTGTCCTACTTGCAGTGGCAGTCAGCACCCATGGCCATGTCCTCCCACTACCTGATTCTCATTTCTCTGTTGGTGTTACATTACTTCTGTTTTGTTTTGTGGTACTGAGACTCGGGATATGGGAGGACAATTTTCCTGGCCCAGGCACAGATCCGTATAATTTTTCTTTTTCTATGTGGACTCTAAACTTGACTCAAAACCACTTTTCATCAGAATTTGAAGTCATTTTTCTTCCACTATTGCTGACAAGAAAACAGCTGTTGTGATTCACAGTTGTGATCCCAGGGGAGTCTGTATTTCTCCAGCATTTCCGATGATCTTTTGTTCATCTCTGTTGAGCAGCCCACCTGTGCTTCTATATGTGTTTTACTCGTGACAGTGATGTGGCTGAGCCCTTTACTCTGGAATTCTTAACTTTAATTCTGGAGAAACGATGATTTTCTTCCTTTGGGTTTTCCTGTTCTGTTTCTCAAACTCTAAGTGGGAATAGAATTTCCTGGGAATACGATTACTCACATTTAAACACATGAGGATCACTTGGAGGAAATATTGAAACTGATTGCTGGGCCCCAACTCCAGAATTTCGGATTCAGTAGAATTTGTATTTATAGCAGTTTCACAGAGAATGCTGATGTTCCTAGTCTGGGTACAAATTTTTTTTAAAAATAATGGTTTTAGACCAATTCTTGAGTTGCTCTATTTTGTATTGTAAAAGAATACCTGATTTTTGCACTTTCTGTTCCCTTTACCTGGCCTGCCCTTCCCTAAGTCTCTGATCATGACCTTTCTGGTTGGCTCATATTTGACCTTATCAGTGAGGTCTCCTGTGGTCATCCTACCGTGGTGCCGCAGATAGAAAGGGCACATGGATGCACTCAGCGTGCTGTGCAGCTCCTCCTTCATCTTGTTCTCTATCCAGACTACTTCTAAACTGCTACTCAATTATTATATGTATTATTTTTTATTGTTATCTTAGGGTGTAAGTCCCAAAAGAACAGAGGATGTCTCTGCTTTGTTCCCTGCTGTGGACTCGTGACTGCTCTTGTGACCATCTCTACCTTATGTGGAACTCCATCAGCTGCAGTTCTATTATTTTCTTCTTGGGCCATTTTCCCAAGGAAAGAGTTCTCCAGCCTGGAGACTTATCAGACTGGCATCTAATATCCTGGGGACCAGGCTAGTAAAGGGGTTGGGGAGTCACTCAACACAGCATGTGGAGTAAGTGGAAGCGTAATGTCTTTACTTCAGTTCGGTGTCTCACTCCCGCACTCAGCTATGCCTTGCGTGTCACAGTCCTCAGCTCCCTGGGCCTCGCTCAGTTTACAGCTTTTCCAACAGGATAGGATGGATTAATTCCCCATTAGGGGTCACTCAGTTCTCTTTTTTCAGTCGTTCCACCACCAAGTGGGAAAAGATGAAAATCACAGTCTTATGTCGAATCTGTCTGGTTTGTACAAGCCTTTTAATAACACGGCAGAGCATTTCAGTTTTACAGTTTGTACAGTAAACAGCATGTTTCCAGGATGTAAGAATTTAAACATGAAAGCGGGGTCTAAGATCAGTTTCCCCCAGAGTTACAGTCCAAGGCAAAGATTTGGGTGCACTTAGCTCATTCAGGGAGTGCTCCTCAGTGAAAATAGCAAAGGGATGGGAAAAACATAACTGGGGAAGAGAAAAAAACAAGGAGGAATATACATGAGAAGGCAGCGGTCTCATCTGAGAGCAGGGGAGCTCTGCCTCCTGCCATTACTCTTAGTTATGCACCTCCGAGCAAAGACTGAGGCTTTTACCTCCACACTGATCCAGACAGTGGCTTGGGAACATGGAGATGGGGTGTGAGGTGCGTGTGCACAAAACTGTCAAGTGCTTCAATACTGGGAAGGTAGAATGATTGCCCAGCAAGAAGGCTGTGGAGGCCTTTTGTGTGAGCCCTTCCCAGCACAGCCTGTGGAAGTGGATGTGACACCTGAACAAATAGATCCGTGGGGAGATGAGCCAGCCCTACCCATACCTATGAAGTCATCAAGTCTTCCCCAGCCAGTCATGGAAGGAAGGGATTGCAATTCCTCAAATTATAAAACACTTTCTAGCTTCTACTTTTTATTCCTTTCAGCACTTACTGTAATTGCTCTTTAGAATTATTTTATAGGGACACAAGATCAGAAGTTCAGTGTTATTATATTTATTATTCAGTGGTCAAATATGGCAGAGATTAAGTGACTTTGTGACATCTTCAGATTTTAAACCTGGTGTTTAAGAATTTTATAAATACTTTATGTAAGCATAGAAGGCATATAAATATGACTTGTTTAATCTGAGTAAGATTGTGACTTTATAAAGAGCTATAAGAAATAAAAGGAATAAACCAGTGTTCGGTTTTAAAATTACTCATTAATTGCAAAAACTGGAAGATGCGCATGAAAAATGCCTTTTAGTTTAATTCCACCATCGTTCAAGGCTTCTGCCATGGCCTTATTACTCAGGCTTAAATAAAGCCAGGATTAAAGAAACATACTAAAATGTTCCTGGGGCACTCCTAGAGGTGGATTCTAAAGTACACTTGGAGTTTTTCCATTATCTTCCCGTATGTGCTTATGTGCATGTAATACTCATGCCATTTCTGCTGAAGCGGGACTAGTTTTCCAGAAGTGCGGCCAGTAACTCTTACAATCTGTTATCGACACATGAGGCTCTTCCTTCCATTTCAGGCATCACTTATGCATAAAGGATGTGCCTTTGCCTCCCCCTAGTACTCGACCACCCACAACTTGCTAATCTCTTCCTGTTGGGATAAGTGCAGGGGAGTTAGAAGAGAAGTGCCCCTATGGCTTCACTCCAGACTCTGTCCCTTGAACACTTTGTTCTTGCTGGACGCGCTAAAGCAAGGCTTTCCAAACCTGGTGGCACATTAACCTGGTGGCCACCTGGTGGCTTCCATCTCCTTGGGAGCATTAACACATGCAGATGCTCTGGCTCTGCCCCAGGCCAGTTAAATCTGACTTATCCGCATCGATCTTAAGTTTAAATCTCCTCATTTGTCGTGCAGCTGCCATTGAGAAGACTGATGGGAGACAGAAGAAAAGCCCACTGGGGACAGGAATAGATTTGCCCTCTCCCACATCGTGGAGCCAGGCTTTCAGTTCCATTTAAGAATTTCTCTGTTACTTTTTAGGATTTGTGCCTGGTCAGCCAACAAGTTGAGACCACAGTGAGGTCTGCTGAGAGCCTGAGATACCTTCTCCAGGCCCCAGAAGCAGCTGTTTGGCATAATTTGCGCATATTTGAAAAAGAAACCTTTGTACCTTATAGAATCAGAGAAGTAAACCTCCGCTTTGCTTTGCCTCTTAGAGGACAGTTTTATTTTCTCTCCTTCATCCGAGCAGGAGCAGCGGTTGTCTGCGCAAGGCCAACTCACCCTTTTCATACCCTTCCGCCAGCCTGCTGACCTGTTAACTAATTTCTAAGTCTCTTCCATTCATTTTAGTACATGGAGCTCAATCTTTTGAGGAAAGAGTAAGAGATATCATGATTTTACTGTTTTGTTCTCTTCTGTGCTGTAAAGTGGTCCTTGAAGTCATATCTGCTTAATTCACTTAATCTGCTTAACGATGCACTTAATCATTTCAGGTGAGGTACACACACACAGGCACACACCTGTCGGAGAGTGATGAATCCATGGCTGTCTTTAGTGTTATGGTTGGTAGTCTGTGCAAAAGCAAATAAGCCTCTGCGAGATTATATACATTTTATGAACTTAGTGGGGATTTCTTGAAATTTACATAGAAATACTTTCAGGAATAAAACCTCTGCATTTTAGTACTAATGGGTGTTGAGTGTCCCATGATATCAGACTTGGTTGAGGAGGTATTATGTCTCTAGGGTAGAGATTTCATTACAAGGTGGGAATTATTGGGAAATTTTTCCTTTTTCTTATTTTGGGTTGGTTAAGTTTTAACTAAACACTCTCAATAACTACCTTCAGTGTTGTTTTAAAATTAGTTAATTGTAGCTCATGTATATTTTAAAAATCTAGTCCAGATACAGCTTTACTGAATGGTATAAAGCAGATACTAGAATCTTCTTTCTTTTAAATTCTGTGTGGTCTATGTGTTTCACAATTGCAAGGCAAAAAAGTTCATATAGAATTATAGATGATGAAATAAACTATTGATTTTAAAATTAGTAAGAAAAACTACGTGCTTTGAATTCACAGATGATTTTTAGTTGTATGTTTACTAAGTTTTAACTGCCATGATCAACTTTATTCCACGGGCCAAGTTTAATAACTCTAGTCTTCTTCCCAATAAAAATCTGCAAGTAAATTATTTAGGAGAAGTGTGTGATTTTTAGCAGTTTGAATTACAGGAATTATACATGGCTAAGAGATATAATTCTATATTCACACATTACAAGGGTATTATTGATAATTCTTCTATGTAGTATGAGTTTGTGTCTGTTACTGTCAAACCATTCCGTTGTGCAGTGTGCAGCCCGGAAGGTTTGGTGGTAGATAACGTCCTAAGCTGGAGTCTCACGCCTGACCCTTTGCAGTTTCTTGGCAGCGCAGAAGTGGAGCAGCCGAAAGGGACGGAAGTCGTGCGAGATGCTGTACGGAAGCTAAAGGTACAGAAATGTCGGGAAATCAAAGCATTAAGTAGCTCTTGGCAGGTGCAGCTTCATCCTGTTAAAAATGAACTGTGGAATACATATCATCCAAAGGCGGCATTTGGAGCAATGAATATGTGCACACAGTTATATTTCTTTATATGGCATGTTTTTATTTCTCTAGTATGGCTGCTCATTATTATGAAAACAAGGTAGTGATATTTCACAAGCATTGGTGCTCAGTAGCAATAGACTTCGCTGGAAGCATGTGAACTGGAGTCCTATCTCAACAGTTGGTGAGAGCATAACAAGTGCCTCACACCCAGCAGTGGAAAATATAGAGATAGAATTGGCTGCAAAGCAGGATGTTACAGTGATGCTCTACATCAAAGATGCCCAAATGGATGAAGACAAGGGGATTGGCCCTTCCCATGAGCCTCCGTAGGGACCTGGTGACAGTCAGAGATCAGAATAGGACACTGCATAAGTAATCAGGAAGTTTCCTGAGAGAATCTCGTATAAGATGTCACATGTTTAAGTGTGCGTTCCCCATTTCAAAGGACAGTGCTGTCACTGAGATTTTAAAACTAGAAAACTCATCCAACAGAATTCTCATCTTTACCATATTGAAGCTATACTTACTTCTTTTATTATACAGTTAATTGTTATTCTGAAGGTTGCTCTTACCTTTTTAAGGAAACAACCCTTTCCTAATTTTATTTGATGTAAGGGTCATCCAGGTGTTCCAAAGGATTAGGCTTCTGATTTTCCAGGCAAAATCATGAACATTCAAAACCATCAATTTGCTTTGTGCATATCATACTAGGTGGAAACTATTGAGTGTTTAAATTAAGGAAAAGTTTACATGACGTGGCTTATATAATGGATACAAGAGAAATGTAGATAATAGTTCATCTATTCATTTTGTATGTAAATACTTCATCTGATTCTTTTAATTAAATATGCTAACGGATCCCAAGAAAATGTTGGTCCCCTCTCTGTTAAAAGGGGGACCACTACATGTTTGCAGTACATAATGACTGTCAGGAGACATTGGCACATATAGGGCAGATCTTAGTTCTGTTTAACATCCGCCCTCCATTTCTCGGTCCCTTTACCATTTGAAAAAGATTTAGCTCCCTGTTTCCTATTATCTAATATTTATTTTGCTCTTTGATTTATTTCTGCTTTAGGTGTCTTGTATAAAGGGAAACCACGCAGTATTTAAGCTTGTAGGTCTGATTTATTTCACTAACACGATGGTCTCAGGGTGCACCTGTTTTGGTGCAAATGGTGTAAATGTATAAAAACAAATGGACAAGGCAGCCATTTCTTTCCACTACCCATGAGGTAATAATTCAGACTTTCTCTTGTTTGCCCAGTAATTTTAATCATCTGTAGAGAATTTAAAGGTCTTACAGTTTAGGGATAACATTTAGAATAGGATTCTGTGTAAATGTTTTCAAAATGTTACAAATTCTGGCCATGAGCCCAATTTCACTGCAGTCTGAATGTTTTGCAAAGAATGACAGTGTTTATACTTCGAGTTTCTTTACATTGAGAGGGGTCTTTCTTCAGTCAACCCAAATATAAAACCAAGAGTTCAATTACAGAACTGTTAGCTCAAATGTAAAAAGATATTTGAAAGTAAACAATGGCTAGTTTACATACATTTTTGTAGGATTTTATATGAGGTTCACATGTAATTTCATACTTGGAATATATCCTCTGTTGAAAAAGTAATGTCATTTAAAATAAGATAAAAATCATGCAGTATAATTTAAGAACACATAGTTATCTGATAGTCATTTTTGTCTCAAGCATCTTTGAAAATAAAAATATATTTAAAAATAATTTTTACTCTTCTTAATTGCAAGTATTTTGTGTCTCAAGAAGGGTAAAGATTCTAGTACTAATTAGAATGAATAAAAATAATTAAAAGTTTAAAATTTAAACCAAGGTTTACACTTATGTTTGAAACACTGGCCCAGGCTCCTTTTAAATTTTGTTGCCTGTGAAAATAACCAGCAGGTGGTGCTGTGGCTCTACTCAAAAAAGCTTTTGGTCCTTGACCAAGTGCACACAAATTTTCTTAATTTTCTGCTTATTTTTTCTCAAGCATGTGTTTTCTGACAGCTTTAAAAACCTACTGTGGTTTGTTATTTGATTTTCTTTGACAGATAAGGTAACATTTTATTCACATTTCCTTCTTTTTACAAAAGATTGTAATATTAAATGCATTTAGCTTATGAAATTAAGAATTCAAAATTTAAGAATACAGCTGATAGACACATTGGATTTTCCAATAATGTATCTTTCAGATCTCTGTGTTTCATGATCCTTGGTTAGTTTTCCAGAGAATTTTTAAAATTTTGACTTTTTATTTAGTACTTATCTAGTGTTTTATGGAAAAAGTATAGTCTGTAAAGTTTTCTTCAGTGTAATAATTCTGTAAGCACTAGATTTTATTCTCACATTGTTTATTTGTCAAAAAACATGTTACCTATTTCTTCAAACATTTTGAATAGTTGCTAATATTTCTTAATCATGTGGTAGCCTGACATTTAATATCAACTATTTCAAAATGTCATAAAGACCTTATCAGCTGTTGCGTATTGAATAGCTTTACTATTGTAAGGAGTTTATCGTTTTTTATTCACGTAACTCATACAGATGGCAGAAGACTCTGCATTTCATACACAGCCTGTGATGTTTCTGTACGAAAAGCTCTGGTGCGAAGATTCCAAAGCTGTCAGTTTTCCTGGGAAACAAGCAGGGACAGCACTGTTAGGCCCTGCATTTAGAGGAGCTTACTCCACTGGAGCATTATTAACATTAGTTAAACTTACTTCAGAGAACTGTGGCTTTTGGGAGTCGCTGTGTCTTTTGTCTCAGCCTAGCAGCTTCTCCATTTGACCTCTGTACAGCTTGACTCTGATTTGTCTTCATGCCATCGTTGAATAAGATGTTTACAGTTTAATTAAAGTGTATGCAAATATAGTTGATTTCATCCCATGATTACCAAGAATACTTTGAGAATTTAAATGTCAGAAACCCAAAGAGGAATAGCAGCTCAGAATAATTGGTCTAAAGTAACAAAGTAATTTTCTTGCCCAATAATATATGTCCCATTAGCAATACAGTGCCATTTCACTGTTTTAAAAGCCCTTTGAAAAAATGGAAAGAAATTACATAAGGATGACATTGAAATTCATTGCTCCCTTTCAGTTTTCATCAGCAGTTCTATGGCAGTGATACATATTTAAATAAGTCATTTTTACTTTTCAGATAATACTTTGTACTTCCAATAACTCTTTATCCTGTATAGCGACCCAGACTTAGCTTGTTTGTGGTATCCAGATACTATCCAGGATGTTTATCATTTGCCCACTTTGAACATTTTCTGCTGGATCATTCTATTCAAATCACTCTATTTAAATCTACCAAGAAATGAATCTACTAAAACAAAACTGGAAATGAATTTGCAGAAATGTTCTTCAAGCATTAGCATCATAAATATAGAGAGCAAACAATATAAGATAGATCGATCAACATGTTTTCTGGGATCTTCTGACACGTCCAAATTACAGCTGTTCTTTTTCTGAGGTGATGGAGATTGAACCCAGGGCCTTCACATTGAGCTACAGCTCAGCACTTCCTTTCCCTTCCCTCCCTTCCCTTCCCTTCCTTTCCTATCTCTTCCCTTCCTTCCCCCGTTCCTTCCTCTCCTTTCCTTCTCCCCTTCCCTTGCCTTCCTCCCCTTGCTTCTCCTCTTCTTCCCTCTCTCTTTCCCTTCCCCCTCCCCTCCTTCTTTATATCCTTTGTTCCTTGCCCTCCTGTGTGTTACTTTTCTACCATCAGACCCTGTTTTCTTTCTGTCTCCATTTCTTCCATTCTTTCCTTCTCAACAGATGAGCGTGGCACTGCTGGCTGTTTTACGGTAGGCTTTCTCCAAAATAAACAAGTTCTCGTCAGAGGTCACAGAAACGACTGTGTTCGGATAGCGAGACAGGCCCCAGAGCAACCACCTGTTTTGTCTCTGGAAAGCAGAGGCACAGAGGAAGCGAGTTTAGGTTGGTTCTGCAGCCAACTGTGGAACGTGCTTTGCTCAGATGATTTTACGTAGCTGGAGAGCTTGATTTTGTGTTTCAACCCTAAGTTGTTTAAAATAGGCCAGTGCAAAAAAAGGAGATTGAAAAGGGAAAGGAAAAGTAATATGCATTCTTTGGAAGAGTTGCAACGATTTCTGATGTGCATTGAAGCAGCGCATATTTCTTGAAGACAGAAGAAGAAAATTCTCTGGCACAGTTGGTGGAATCATACTCAGAATCTAACATTGAGGGGTACAAAACAAAGGGAGAAAAGTCAGTCTACGTTCATGAAGCTGGAAGGACAGCAAGCTGAAAAGTTATCCCATTCCAAATGGAAGAAATGGAACTGCTCCCTGTGGAATACGAAGGCAGACCTTTGAGGCCCTTGTCCGTGCATTTACGATGTGAGTCTCCGTGCTGTAGAAGGGCGTAAAGGGGCAGAAGGCTTTGAACCTCTCTGCTCCAGAACTGAGTAAGACCATGTGCATCCACATCTGCCCTGAATTACAGTGAAAAGCACAATGCAAATAAATATGACATACAAGAGGACAGAGCGCCGCCCTGCCTTACATGTGCTCTATTTTGAGGATAACTTTCCGCGTGCTGAGAAGGCCATAGTAGCCTTCAAGAGAAGCCTTCAAAAATAGCCTTCAAAACATCTTTTCTTAAAAAATAAGATAGAGGAAAGGAGGCAAGAGTGTGGGGAAACAGTGGGGCTGCCAGATCAAATCTGGAAAATAAATAAGCTTTGAATTTTAGATACATGATGAATAACTTTTTAAAAATATGTGGCATGTTTATATTAATTGCCATATATATTTTGTGTATCGTATGTGCATTTGTGTATAGTGCATGTATGTAGGTAGTCTAAAATGGTTGAAAATATATTATTTAAAATTTGAATACAACTGTGCTCCTATAATTTTCCTACCACTAAATCTGTTAGAGCTGGAGAGAGACAGAAACATCAGCTAAGTTCATGAGTATTCTGATTTTCTTGTTTATTTTCTAACAGTACCTAAGAAGCATTTATGTTCACTTAATTAACTTGGTGAAAATATGTAATAAATATTACTCTGCAAGCACTGAAAAAATGTATGTTTTCAAGATATTATAATTGTAGAATGTGGCTTTTAACTGTACCTGAGCCTTTTCATTGGTATCGTTAATTCCACCCTTGGCTTCAGTTTGAATATGGTAGTCTGTCTCTTTTCATTCTTTGATATATTTGGAATGAAACCAAATCAGTGTGTTCAACTAAGTAAATATGTAACATTAATGAAGATGGTATGTCCAATTGTTGGCAAATTGAGTTCTCCAAAGGTATTAAAAATGCACAGAAAAATAAAATTATCTCTGCTTATCATCCCAGAAAGCTTCCTTCATTTGCTCAATTATCCAGTATAAATTCAGCTTTTACAGATATCCTGAAAGAACTGCAGAACTCACGTTTTTCAAAAGTGACTGGTAATCAGTCTGAATTATAGTGGTAGATTTCTATGATTGCTAAATATTTTGAGACTGTTCTTATAAAATACTTCATAATGGGCAATAATTCATTAAATGAAAGTCTGACATTGAATATAACCCCCAAATGTACATTTGTTTATGCTCATTCTCCATAAAAACAGAATTACAGTTTTGGGAATAATTTTTCCTTTGTAGTTTGCAAGACACATCAAGAAATCTGAAGGCCAGAAAATTCCCAAAGTTGAGTTGCAAATATCAATTTATGGAGTAAAAATTCTCGAACCCAAAACAAAGGTAAGGCTTATTTTTGAATGTCTGTACACTTTAATCTTTAATTACTTGCAGGTAGATGCCTATTTTAATGAATATTTAAATGCTTTACCAACCTGAACTGTTTAGTTCTCAGTTAATTGTGACACAAAGTGCTAGGATATTTAGAAGAACAACTTTCAGAATTTCTGTCTGTTCTTCCCCTTATGTTTGCAATATAATAACGCATATTCCGTGTATTCACCAGTGTTAGAATTTGTATTTAGAAGTTTTTCAGTGATGGGAGAGAGATAAGAGTGTAGTTTACTGAGTGAAAATGAAGACAAAACCTCCGTGTTGTTTTGAAATGTCCTGCAGTGGCTCCTATAGCCTGTAGACATAAGAGTGTGTATTGGCTTTTAGGCAGCTATGCAAAATACCACAGTCTCCGTGGCTTAAACAACAGCACTTTGTTTTAGAAGGCTGGAACTTCAGGATGCAGGCGTTATTTTCCTCCCCTTGGTTTGCAGGTGGCTGCATTGTGCTCCCCCTTTATAAGGTTGACCCTCTGTGCACACTGTAGTGACTCTTACAGCTTCCTCCTTTTACAAAGATGTCATTCAGATTGGATTAGGAGCTGTCTTGCTTACTTGTTGCTGAGACAAAATACCTGACAGCCCAGCCTAAGGAAGGGAAAGTTTATTTAGCTCACAGTTTGTAGAAGTTTCGGTCAGTCATCAGCTGGCTCCAAGGCAGGGTGGCGTGACAGAGGGGCAAGTTTATGGTGGTAAAAGACAGCAATAGCAACAAGAGTAAATAGGAAGGAGCAAGTGTCTCTGCTTCTTTCCCTCATGTTGTAGTGGGTGTAGCACTTACACCCATCCCAGCACTAGACAATGAACCAGTCTCAAACTCTGGATTGAGCTGCCTCTGCAAAGCCCACCCTCATGAGTACATGACGCTTTGGGGGGACATCCAGACACAAACCGTAACAGGGACCATGCAGGGCCTTATTTTAACTTAATTATCTTTTTCAAGGTCTTAAGGTGAAATAAAAACTTTAGACAAATTAAATTTAATGATTTATTGACGCATACTACAATTTAAGAGCCAGGTAGCACTCAGAACCAGAAGCACCTCAGAGAGCTCCACCAACCAACATGAACAGTGAACATTCACAGGCCAGACACAAGTAAATTACACCAGTCATCTGATTGGCAGCAGCCTGTGATCGGGTGATAGCTGAAACTCTGCAGTTGTTACACAGTACTTCTGTGAGGATTTTCTTTATACACTAGGTTAGGCTGCAGTTGGGAAATCAGAGTAAATTTGGCCTAATGGCTGGATGCTTATTTAATTTACCACTTCAAATATAGTAACACTCTAACATATTGGAGTTTTGGACTAGAGGAAAGACCATTTGAAGAAGGCAATATGGCACATGTCTGGAAGTCAAGGAAGGAGCCCCAAAGAAACCCAGCCTACTGATGCCTTGATATTGAGCTCCAAACTTCTGGAACTGTGAAGAAGTAAATTTCTGTTCTTTAAGTATCCATATTTTGTGAGGTCCACACTGGTCCTAGAGTAATTTATCCACAGCACGTCAGGTTATTGTTTTGGAATTTTGCTAAGACCGTGGTGGTTTGGAAAGCCTAACACTCAGCTCCAGTTATTTTATCAATACAAGCTATCAGATCTTTTCTATATCACTGTAGCATGCTTATTGACAGGCTAAGGCAACTAGTCAAAGGAAAGTGTGAACAGATTATGAAATTTTCTGATACGTCTGTAACTTAGTAGTCTAGCAGGTGCCATTAATACCTTCATTGATGTGAACACCACTTCCCGACAATGTTGAAGAGTTGTCTGCTCACCAGTAGCACCACAGCTATTGGGTGCTTATTAGGAACATAAAATCTACTGAGTCCAGATCTACTGAATCACTAATTTACAGTTTAAGAAGAAACCTACCAACTCACATACACATTAAAGTTTGAGAAGATTTGTGATTGTGTAGATTGGTGGCTACATGCAGTAGGTCTCATTTTCAAACTATAGTCCATTGTACTTGCTAAAATGCGTTCTAAAGCTTTTGTCAGAGACCCATAATCCCCAAATGCAGAAAGTTTGCATTTATAAACAGTTTAAGAACAACAGGACTATGGCAAGGATACACCCATTGTACACTCACCATTCCATATTAAAAAGAGTTGACATTCCTTTAAACTTCCCGTGTGAATTTATGACCTTCCACAATTACACTGTTAAGTGTCTCCCATTATCTCCTCTCAATATTAAATATTTAACAGAGATGCGGAGATGTGGCTTTGGTTTTGGCTATCTCAAAGTAACTGCGGCTTAGGTGGCTGAGACAGAAAGGAAGTTACGACATAACCGTGAAAAGAACAAGGGAAAGTGGGTGGAGCACTTAATGGAATATGTTCAGTGTACCTGGAAACAAAGGAGGGAAAAATGAGAAATGATCTTCTGAACAGGCGGATTGCCTGAGAACTCACTGTGTAAGTGGTACCTAAAAGGGGGCAGCTAAGCTGGGAAAGTGACCACTGACAGTAGGATAGCATAACCAGAAGTGTAGCAACCTAAGTAGTCTCACATGCAATAAAAAAAAAAAAAAACTTAGCAATCCTATTCTTGCACTTCCTGTTTAAAATTAAATGGGGATATAGTGGCAAATGTGCAGCCAGCATAGGTCATTTGTAGGCTATGTTTTTGATGATAATTTTCTTCTAAACCATACAGATTTTGAAGCTTTTTTGAAATGTGTGTGTGTACGTGTATGTGATTATCGATTATATTTTAATCTGAATGTTTGGGACTTACAAAGCTCGTGTTGAAGTATGTTGGTTTGGTAACGTACCCCATGCATCTTCAAAAAACATATTTTTGTTTGAATCTACACCTGGTGAAACCTAGGCTATAAAAATTTAGCAATGGTATATACATAATCTATGCACCGTAATCTAATGAGTCATTCTCTTAGTACTGCAAATTCAGAGTAATTCAAACTTTTTATTAATTCAGTTTGTGTTTACCAAATAGACATATGATTGAAGGAGTATGTACAGAGAATTTCTTTCATCTCTAGAATTGACAGTTTAAAACTGGTGTATCCTTAGAAATTGCAAAATACAAAGATTTAAGACACTGAAAGGTGATTACCACTAATACCTATGTGGGGATGTGTGTGTGTGTGTGTGTGTGTGTGTGTGTGTGTGTGTGTGTAACAATGAATCAATAAGCACAGGCATGGCATGATGTTACCAGCTGGCTAGTTGAACTACGTATGACTATGCACTAGGATTTTTTCCTTAACCTAGAGCTATTACTTCCTGCATGATTTCAGCAGTTGTTCTTTCTTTTCCTTTCTTTTCTTTTCCTTTTTTTTTTTTTTTTTTTTTTGAGTCAGGGTCTTGCTATATAGTTGAGACAGGCATGGAACTCACTTTGTAGCCTAGGCTGGCCTTGAACTCACAGCAATCTTCTTGCTTGGTTTCAGCACATTTTTCAAATTTCTTTAAACGAAACATGTGAAAAGTTCTTCAGTAAAAACCTCTATCAGTCACCTCAGCTATTATATGTACCCCCTAGTATCCAGAACACTTACAGAAATCCACTCTTATAAACCATAATTAACTAATAAGTCCATTTTTTTGCCCCATTATTTATACCAGCACAAATTTCTGATTTTTGTGTGTTTTATCTGGAATGCAGAGTAATTTTTTCTTAAGTGTCAACATAAGATACAAATACTAAAAATTTTTTTAAAAAATCATAATGCATTATATTATAAAGACAAAATAATGGAATAGTCTCAAAACTTGATTTGGAATAGGAAAAACATATAATAGGTGATGAAATAATCAAAGCAAAATTTATTTAAAAAGGATGATTGCCACCTACTCTTTTTGTTGGTGGAAAATCAATATTTTTAAATTTCTGCCAATAAAGGTCTTTTGGCAAACTTCTCAATGCTAGCATCCTGTTCCCCAAGCATTTATTTTCAAATCTCCATCCCTCTTCTGACCTAAACCCCATTTATAGAATAAATATCAGTGAGCCAAGGTTCAAGTCAATAGAATTAACAAATTGGCTTTTGTCAACCTATATGGCCTTACTCCAATTAGAAATATCAACATACCCTTTCCCTTTTCAGACTTCTAATTTCCTGTACTTAATAACTATTTTAAGAGACTCAAGTGTATCTTCTCTCTGAAAGTAAGTTTTCTAGCCTTCTAATTAAAAAAATCTATTTTTATCTATCAATTTGAAAAGCAATATAATCTTTAATAAGTTCTGATAAGTTCAATTATATTCTGAGTATACAACACCTTTACTCAAATACCGTATTATGTGTGGATACAGAATATCTCATTCTTTACCCCTATGTAAAGAGTATTATTTTTTATTTTATTAAAAAATTAAGGTAATGTATAAGGAGATTTACAAACTCTGCTGAATATCAGTGCCCCAAAACACTCTTAAGAACGCTGATTTCTGAAGTCTTGCTGCGCATATCTGAATCTGCATCTGCAGCAAAGTCTGTGTGTGCATGTGTGTGTGGGTGTGTGTAAATACGCGAAGGAGGACTCCCTAGGTCACTCCCTAGGTTATACACACATGAATTTCTAAAGTCACTGATCTAAGAGATGTGAATGAGCTAGAGGGGAAAAAAAAACCTCTCAGTGTTTTTTTAAAAATTATTTTAGTTGTAAGTTGTTAGAAAACAATAAATATGAAGCTCTTCATAGAAATTCATGGATAAATATGGATCAGGATTTTAAAATACATTATTAACCTAACACGGACATTATTTATAGAAAACAGAACATCTTTCTCACTTGGGAGGGTGAAAGTGGACTCAAAAACAGTGTCTGTGACAACTTGGTTCTTTTTTCCCTTTGTCTTTCTTCCATTCTGCATTACTCATTTATTCTTCACATTAGTATTCTATGGCATTGGAAACAGGTAGCGAGGATGAAACGGGATGAAAATGTTCAATGATATTTTTGTTCCAATTCTAGTAAAATAGAATTAATATTAAAGGGCATGTGTTTCCTCACTGTGGTTTGCTGTGTTTCTGAGTCCCTAACTATGTATCACAGTAATAACAAAATCTTCACAAAGCTGTGGAAAGATGATTTGGTTAGTCTGAATGCATGTTAAGAAGACGGTCACTGTTTGTAATCAGTGGCTGTGTGAGGTCAGACTGGTTGATGAGTGAAGGAACAGCCATATAGCTTTCATCACACCATGGAAATGGTGTGCTTTTCATATTCTTATAATTCCTTCCCTAAATAGAAAAAGAAATCTTGTCTACTTTGTATAGAAGGATATTTCCTCTTCACGTGTCATTACTATGATTATATAGTTCTTAAACTGATGTAGAACTGCCGTCAGTATTTGGAAGCTACCGTGTGGCTGAAGGCTATTGTTTGATAAACTATACTGACATTAAGACAAAAATAAAGGTTAATGCAAAAGGAAAATAGAAAATCAGGCAAAGTACTGTATAGACAAATGTTGTCATCATCTAAGCACTGATCAAAAGAAAGGGAGGAAGGATGCCCTCATCAAAAGCCTATACATCTGTAGCACTTTATCCCTTCCATTGAAATGGATATATCAGGCTGCCTAGGAATGCCATTATGTACTACAACTATATACTTTATTTTAATTTTCATATTTGCTAAGCAACTACTTGATGGTTTACCTTTTAGTTTACATGCAGGAAAAAATACACTGCTGTAGACAAACTTCCTGAGCATTTATGGGCCTGTCTCATTTTAGCTACTCCTCTTCAGTTGGTAATGCAAATCAAACTGATAGATCAAATCTTAGCAAGCCAATACAGACATCAGAATCTGAGCTGGGAAAAAGAAAGGCTTTTGCCATATCCGTGATACTTTTTCTGATCAAAATCTCAGAGATTCTGACTCAGTGGAGTAGACAAGGAAAATGTTTGTAGCAAGTACTCCAGATATTTGTGCTACAGGTTGTCTAAAACTGCCTGTGGAGAGACATTACTAGATGACTTCAAATAAGGCTTTCTGGGGAGACATTGGTTGAGTCTGCCTTGGCTGAAACTATGATTAAACTATGATTTCTTGTCCCTACTTTTTTTTTTTTTTTTTTATAATACTCACTAAGTAATATTTATGGCCTGAATTTTTAAACAATACTCCTCATGTTGTAATGCAGTTTTGATAAAAGATATTTGTAACCACAGTATAATAAAGAATGATTTTTTTCTTTTTACACCTTGGCATCAGTCAGAATCCAATAAAAACATAAGATTTGTTTTTCTGCCTCCAGCATCTTTCAGCATGTTTGGAAAATGAATCAATAATCAATATTGATGATACATATGAAGTTAGTATTATCAAATGTTCAGTCTTTTAACTAAATAATGGTAGTTTAAAGAAACTTTCTCTTATTTCATACTCATATTTTAATTAAATATATTTTGATAGCTTCCATGGGCCATATAACTTCATACATACATGTGTACGTGCACCTGGGCTGCAGCTATGTCTCTGTTTTGCAGCAATTGTTCTCATGATTAGCACGGTCCACAAGTCATTTGAAAGTGGCTCTGTGAAAAACACTACTACAGGTACAAAGAGGTCCTTCCTAGAGAGAAAGGTTCATGAGTGTATGAGTTACAGGGATGATATGTAGAATAAAATTTAACAAGGACACTAAGGATGAAAGCGTAGTGAGCTGCAGGTGAAATGTCGTTCAGATGAGGCCGTGTTCTAACTCATAGTAGTAGCAGTGACGTAAAATAAAAGAATTTGGTTTTAAAGGGGTTATGCTAATTGTGTAAACTTTTGGAAGTATCTCATTCACTTTGGGCCTTTTGTTCTATGTCATCTTGCAGGATTTAAAGTATATATATCTGGTCTCTGAAAATCTTCTGTACCTCTGAAAGGGTGTGGACCACTAATCCTCTTGTATTATGTTAGTGTTTTTCTAAGTAATCTTGAAATGAATATCTTAATTTAGCCCTGAGTCTTGTGATCCATCTGCGTTATGTCTTTATGTTTGGATTATAACATTAAAGCTTGACAGATGATTGTTACACTTTGAAAATCTTAGGTTATATGTTGTTGGCCCAAGATGATATTTCTCAAAATGATAAAAAGTGCCATCTAGTATTTATTTTCATCTGTGTTCACAGGAAGTCCAGCACAATTGCCAGCTTCACAGAATATCGTTTTGTGCAGATGATAAAACTGACAAGAGGATATTCACTTTCATATGCAAAGATTCTGAGTCAAACAAACATTTGTGTTATGTATTTGACAGCGAAAAGTGTGTAAGTATGCCAGATGTTTTAGGGTGGTTTGTTCTGTTTAACAAGCCAAGAGCTGTCTTGTTTCCGGCATTAGTCAAGTATTTGGAAATGCAAAGGCCTGCAAATACTTAACTACACTAATAGATTCATCCTGTCCTGAGAATAAGCTTCGGGATTTCATCTTTAACTCATTTCTTATGTTCGTGAGCATAGGCTTTCATGCAAATTTCTTTTGTTAGAACGTCATGTCTCATTAATGTTATGCATTTATTTATGATTCCTAAAAATCATTTAATTTATTTGCAGTTTTAATCTCAAACATGATTTGCTAATATGGACACAATGCAAAGAGTAACAGTGAGCTCTTTTTTTCTACTTTTCTGAAACATAATGTTGCTGATGAAAATAAATATTCTAAACTCCAGGAAGTAAAGTCCGCATTGGTCCTTAAAAAAATTATCCAATATTTTGAAAAACTGCATCGTGATGTTCATTATTTAGAAACCATAATAAGATGAATGATAACAGTATTGTGCATGTCTGTGCATATTTGCTTTGAATGAAATCTAAAGTTCTTAGCGAGGAAAGACAGTTAGGAAATTCCAGAGTTAAGCCGTGCAAGCATTCTTTAGTCATCTGGAATCTTAAGGAAAACCCTGTGTGTTGCTGACAAGCACAGGCTAATTCTGATCATAACCTATTCCTGTAGTAAAATGCAAGATGAGAGTTCCTAGCTCACATGGCAGCCACTGCCATCTTCAAGGGGGAGGAGCATCTCAGCTCTGCAGCACTGTCAATTTAGAAAGGAAATAGAACTTCACTCATGTATGTGCTGTATTTTCTTGGTTTCAAAAATTGCAGATTGCTAATATTATCATTACTAATGTGTAATTTTTCTCTGTGGTTTCAGAATGTAAGCTTCTTGAGAACAAATTCCTTTCCTTTGTAGATGTGGTTTGGGCATCAGGTGAACAACAATTGCCCCATAACATTTTCCTTAAGGAAAAGACAACATTGAACATTTTCCAAAAACAGCAGAAGTTATTTCCTGTATCTTATTTAAACACTCGTACTTTCAAAGGCAAGCTATTCTGCTAGGCTATGTGGCACCATAGTAACTTCTCACAGTTTGGTGAGCATTATGGGATATCTCATCTGAAAAATACATGTACTCATACAAGACAATATTATATGTAAAAGGCATTTGATATGAATGTTAAATTGTTTTTAAAGTTTATCCTATTGAATGCATGTTTGCATATTTTAAAAGCATTTAAACAATAATTAAGAAAGGGGGAGGTTTTTTACTGTGAGACTGGGAGGGTTAAACTTGATATTTATTGAACATTTTCTATGTGTCAGACATAAATTTTTACCATTTGCACCAGATTATAAATTTAGATGTTCTTCTTTCTTGCCTTACACAGAGAAAGACACTTCTTTGGTAACCACTGAAATGCTCACCATAAGATTTCATTAAAATATCAGGCTTCTTACAGATTGATACCACTTTTTTACCTTGCTGTAATATTCATCTAAATTTGCTGCATGATTGCAAAAGACAAGCTTTCCAGAACCTCTTGACAGTTATGTTGATTTGAAGCTGTCAACCTTATTTCTTCCCAGTCATAATTTTCTGTAATTGGTTACCAGAACTTGAATTTTTTAAATTTATTCTTGCTTGAAACTTTTTTTCTTTTTTCTTCAAGGTTGAAAATAATACATTGAATGTTAGAGCAGTGATTCATAATCATGTAGGTGCATAAAATATAAAGGGGCATCTAAAAGTATAATTCTGGAATCTCTCATCAGAAAAATACTGATTTTGGGATAGACTTCTGGAAATCTGTTTACCAAGTTCACCAAGTTACTCTGCTACAGCTGGATAGAAGTCTGGGCTTTGAAAAAGAAGGGTGCAAAATATCTCCCCCACTGTGAGTTGACATCACTTTCATGAGGTCAGAGAGAACACATTTTCTCAACTTCATTACATCACCTTCACTATACATTTTAATTGGCTGTAATAAAATAATGAGTATGATTATAAATTTGATTTGATGTGTATGCAGAAATTTTAATCTGTCATCTGCCCTAAATCTCATGTTAAATAATTAGTCAGAGAGTATTTAAATAGGAAAAGAAATTGTAGTCTAGTTGGCATAGCTCTTTCCTCTTATTTTAAGATACGAGATCCAGAGGAATGGGATTTTCCAAAGTTATAAAGTTAAGTAGTAATAGAACCATGACAAAACTCTAAGAGTGAATACTCCTCCCCTGGGCACATTTGTCCTATGATGTCACTGAGCCCCTCTCCCGCCCTGGTGCCAGTGAGGCCCACATGGCAAGACTGGATGCTCATCCTACCACCTAAGGAAACAGCTTCCATCCTCACCAGGCACCGGGAGGCAGTGCTATCCACTGTCATTTCCCTAGGAATCATGGCAGAGGAAGTTACCAAAAACGGGAGATTTCTATAACTTCCAGAATCCATAACCAAGTACCCAAAATATCCAAGCTTCAAGTGGAAATCATTCCGCATGACAGGAAGCAGAAAGATCCTAAACTAAATGAAACCATTCAACCAGTAGATTTCAACCTCAAAATGTCAGAGCTATTAGAATTACAAGATTGCAAAACACCCATTTTAAAACAACAAAGCGTTTTAAACAACTGTCATAAAATAGAACATAAAGAGTAATTACAAGCACATTGGAAAAAACTAGCAATCTTTCTAAAGAAATAGAAAATCTAAGTAAAAAAATAGAAGACATAAGAATCAGTGACCTGGAAATTTGCTTAATAAAAGTGCCCAATCTGAACAGTACAGGGATAATAGGCACATCCGTGCGCACATGCACGCACGCGCGCACATGCACACACACACACACACACACACACACACACACACACACACACACCCCAATACACTGACAGAAATGAAAATGTAGCGGAACTTCAGGGACCTGAGGGGCTGAAGTAACATGTGCAACATTTGTGTGGTGTCCTGGCAAGAGGAGAAAGAAACCAGCTCAGCCTGGGGGAAAGAAGGACGGAAAGGAGGAAGGGAGGGAAGGAAAGAGGAGAGAGAGAGAGAGGGAAAAAAAAGAAAAGGAAGGAAGGGAGAGAGGAAGGAAAGAAAGAAAGAAAGTATCAGTGTTTATTAGAGAGACAGATATAACACAAGATATACACATATATAAGAATTTACAAGACTGGCTTATAGCAGCCACTCACAACAGTTGGATGAGGACGCATGCACAGGGCGTGCAGAAGGTGTCTGCACACTGGGGACTGAAGGATTCAGTCAAAGGTCTGGAGCTCACTGCAGTGTCCCAGGCTAGTTACTGTCAGGAGACCAATGGGTCTGAGATGAAAGGCTGCAGGGTCTGTGCTGGGAGCTGAAGAGTCTGTGCTAGAAGCCAGGAGATGACGTCCAAAGTGAAGGTGAAGAGTAGAGCTCCTGCAAAGAAACAGAAGCAGATCCATCCTTTCTCATTTCCGCTTTATACCACCCAGGTCTTCCGCACCTTAGGATGTGGAATTGCTGAGCCAATTTATTTGAGCTTCTCTTACTCAAGTTGACATGATCAATAACCATAGTAGACAGACATACAGAAAAAAAAGGAAAGAAAAGGAATTATTAATAAATTCTCAAATTTGGAAAATAACATAAGCTTATAGACTCAAAATGAAGTAATCTCCAACCTAGAAATACAATATAGTCAGATTTTTGAAAACTAAAGACAAATGAAAATCTTGAGAACAGCAAAAACTACACAAGACCGTACCTGTGTTATCAAGGATATAGAAACATTCAACATCATGAACAGCTAGAATCCCGTGAAGTTACAAAAGGGCTCCACCAGCAACCACGGAAGATGCAATGTTTTCAGTATTCAAGGAGCAGGCACCAAAGTAGATTTATTGTGAATTATAGAACACACCTCAAAATTTAAAGAAAGATTGAAGTCATGGTGGGTATAACTAGAGGGGAAAAATGTGAAACTCTGCACAGAAAGATGGTACTAAAATCTTCAAGCACGTAGGGCACATCATTCTTGCATATTTCATACATCAAAGAGCAAGTAGCAAAGGAAAGTTTAAAAAACTCAGGGAAATGAATAAACATGAAATACACCACCTTTGTAAGTTATAGCTAAAGCAGTGTTGCTATCAAGACTTACAAAAAGTAAGTAGATAAATTAGAACAGAGGAAAGTCTCAAGTCATGGTCTGTCTCTTCCTGCATGATCAGTGAGTCAATGCTTTAAAAGTACTTTTAAAAACTCTACCCTCATTCATGACTGAAAACGTAAAATAATAGGAATAGAAGACAACTTCAACTTGTTTAAAAGATCTATAAAAGTTACAGGTATTTTCCTTTTTATTAAAGTTTTGCTACACAAATTCTTCTTCCATCCCTTAAAATTGGGAGATTTTATATAAAAGCTCAGATTCTTGATCTCATCACAGATATTACAGATCTGTCCAGTGGGGCTGGAATTTTGATTTTGACCAGGCAGGAGGATTGTTGGGAGTTCCAGACCAGCCTGCCTACAGTGAGCTGAAGGCCAGCTTGAACTGCATAGTGAGACCCTGTCTCAAAAAGACGGAAAAAAAAAAAAAAAGAGTAAAAACAAATTGAAGTAGGAGCCATATTTTTTTTTCACCAATTAGACTGGCTAACATAAGCCCAATAACACTCAATGCAAATGACAGAGTAAGGTGTGACAGTGTCGGAGACTCCCAGTTGAAAGGGTAGCTTGGTATATTTCTGAAGATTTGGTAGTAAATATGAAAAGCCTTAAAAATGCACTTTCCTTCCACACAGTGATTTCATGTCTACAATGATTTCTTCCATACAAGGATAATTGTATGCAGATAAGCCTCATAAGAAGGAAAAGTTTTAAAACAACTCACAGAACAGGAAATAATCTAGTTTGGTTAAAAACAAAAGTATAGTGTATATATGAAAATATTAAGTAAAATGATATATGTACAAACCCATTGACATGGAAAGATTCACAATATCTAAATACAGGTTATTTATTTACTTATGTTTTTCTGAGACATAGTCTCACTAAGTAGCCCAGGCTGGCCTCGAACTCCTGGCATTCCTTCTTCTTCCGCCTCCCCAGCGCTGGTATTACAAGTGTGCACCACCATGCCCAACTGATACATGATGTTTGACAGCATTATGGGTTTTATGATCCAATTTGTTTATATTTAGGAGCTACCTATTGTCTATTTCGTATTTTCATGATTTATAATTATAATTTATAGAATTACATAATGCCTAATTGTATTTGATGTATGCTTTATGTGCATGTATTTGACTTAACTAGATTTAGACTTACACATGTGTGTATCTTTTCTGAATGTTGATATATCAGAGTTTTACCAGACTTGATGGTTGTATGTAGGGCTATGAATGATACTCATTCTTAGGGGCTGGGGATTTAGCTCAGCGTCAAAGAGCGCCTGCCTGGCAAGCGCAAGGTCGTGAGTTCGGTTCCCGGTACCAGAGAAAAACCAAAAAACCAAAAGAAAATGATACTCATTCTTACTCTCATTTACTGCATTCTTTACCATGTGCATGTGTTGCTTTTATAATAAAAAGAAAGGTATTTCCAAAACAAAACGGAGGGATAAAAATGTTTTAGAATTTCAGTAAAAACTAGCTAAAATGTGGCATTTTCAGTATAGAACTTTACTACTCATTTCCCTGCCATCAAAGTTTTATAAGAATTAATCTTACTAAATATGAAATGTTTGTCACACATTAAATCGATGCATGTCTTCACTAACCTTTGTGATATTAATGAGGTAAATACACCTATTTTTATTGTATACTTGCAGCAGTGAGGATACCATGGATTCAACAGAGATGCAGAACAGGAATAAGCACCTGGACTTAGGATATCTGGGCAGTTTCTAGTGGACGGGAGCATCTAAATTGTTTTCTAGGCCAAATTCAAATGACAGATATATTTTGTTCAGTCCACAGCACTTTACAAAAATATGAGCTGTCTGCCATCCCTTAAAATGGAGAGATTTTATGTAAAAATTCAGATTCTTGATCTTATTACACAGAGTTCAGATCTGACCAGTGGGGTTGGCATTTTGATGTCCACCAGGCAGTAATAAATTGAAGTGAGTAGTAGTTGCTCCATTCAGAAGACTTACACTACCGCAAGTTTTCCAGGCACCGCCTGTCGGCCTCATTTAGGTTACCTGCCCAGGGTTGTAAAGCTCTCTCACTAGGAAAACAAATAGCAAAGCAAGAAGAGAAACTGCCCTTGGCAGTGCACTTTCCTTTAATAGGCACTGAGTATTTGAAAAAGAGGAAAACAGCTACGAAGAAAGCTACCACTAAGAGGAGAAATTGGACATGAAGAGCTCTTGCTTCTCCTCCAATAACTCTCCATTAATGGCCTCTTTCTTTTTCTTCCTTTTATGGCATTGAACCACTATGTCAGCATGCACTACTTTGTTCCTTTACTGCAATTTCTTACCCTTGTACTGGCCATTTTGAGATACCTCTGATGAATGCCTTGGAGTATTTCATGTGAACTTTCTTCTTGAAGCAAAGGACACTTTGACATTATTACTAAAATGCAAATCTTTGATTTTTTACAAAGGCTGAAGAGATAACTTTAACCATTGGCCAAGCATTTGACCTGGCATACAGGAAATTTCTAGAATCTGGAGGAAAAGATGTTGAAACAAGAAAACAGATTGCAGGGCTACAAAAAAGAGTGAGTAAACTAAGCTTCTTGTTTCACATTTGTATCGTGTAAGTACAGGGAGCTTTGCATATCATCAAACAAATTTAGGAAGCCTGCTATTAAGTTCTCCCCACACTGATTGGAACTGATTTCACTGTGTTCCTATAATTTTTCATTCCTGATCCCCTGCACAGTTTTTAACTGTTGTATATTGAATTCCCACAAGAACTTAGTGTTCTCATGTGATTTTGCTTCACTTCCCGATGCTTCTCATGGGGATCAGAGCAGCAGAAGCAGCAGATTCTGGGTAAGTGGTTTCCCATGCAGATCAGATTCCTTTGTCATGAAATTACACCCTTTCCCCGCTCTTCCAACTCATCACAGGCAAGTCTGACTGTCTTGTGGTTATGCTCCAAGATTACGGGTATAGCTTGCACAGTGCAGCGAGAAAACACACAGATGACACATTAGAAACATCAGACTTGCACACACACAAATCTATTTCAGATTTATTATGTCTTTCCAGTGATCTGGAATCGTCCAGGATTTCCCAAGTTTTACCAAGTAATTGTCTCCCCCGTGTACAAGAGCACAAGATTTTAAATAGTATCAAATGCTATTCATGACTGAAGTTCAGTATTGTAGCCAATATTTTCCAAGAAAAAAAAAATCTGAAATTTATACAATGATCATTTGCTTTGTAGATCCAAGATCTAGAAACAGAAAATATGGAACTTAAAAATAAAGTACAAGATTTGGAAAACCAGTTAAAAGTAACTCAAGTGTCAACATCGCCAGTAAGTATATTGAAGATGTGTGTGTTTTCCTTACAGAAAGATGTTATGGTGATAAGATCTCTCTGGATCATACATTCAGAAGTGACGTTTTCTGAACAATAATTTAAAACTCAACATGGATAGATATGACACTTAGTAACCAAGATTGATTTATTTTTTATTTATTTATTTTTTTACCAAGATTAATTTAAAAAGTAAAATTACCTCAGTAGCGCAGATGAAAATTGTTTTCCCTTACTATTCTTTCTCCTGGTATTTCAACCCTCATCGGTCTTAAGGGTTTTTGGGGGGGATTTTTTTGGTGCTGAGGAATAAACTCAGGACCTTGTGCTTGCCAAGCAGGCGCTTGTGCCGCTGAGCTATATCCCCAGCACAGGTCTTACGGTTTAATATACTTTTTTCTTTGAAGTATATTCTTTCCTTCACCCTTGTTGATTATTGTTTACTGAGGTTAGACGGAATGACTCACACCTGTCTACTATGGAGCTCTGAACATCATTGTAGGAAATGGACTGGTAACTGCATTGAACATGGTTTCTCGTATTACATAGCAAGGGTTCCCACTGGAGTGAAGAGATTGATTTCTGACATTAAAATGAGTGCTTGTCTCTGGAGGCAGCACACATATGTATAATTAAATTATTTATATCTGGCTTGTCACAGTTATGAAATCTTTTTTCTCCAGTATCATGTATGACATTGGTATTACGTGATTTTGACAAAGGGAATTTTTTCAGAGGAAGGTAAAATTTTTAAAAATATTTTTTCTAAGCAAATTTTGTTTCCAACAAGATCTTTTTCTCGGTTTGAATCATCTGTCCTACTGATGTTCCTTATTAACTTGTACACTTTATTATGCTTTTAAAATATTTAATATGAAACTGATGCACAACTGTGATCATGTAAAGTTTTCAAAGAATTTTGGAAAAATATGTTTATATCTATATATCATACAATAATTTATCAGTTCTTCACCATGAAGCAGAATAATATAAGTTGGACCTAGGGCTTCAAAGTTGGCAAACCTTGGAAGTAGGTCAAACTTTTCTCTTTGTTCTGAACTTCTGCTTTTCTGCTTTCCATACTGAAAGAGTTGCTCTTTCTCTTGCTTCCATAGTATATGGAATTGTGCTGCTGACAGAACTGAGAAGAGATGTTAGGGGCAAGGCGCTCATGTGCCCCTGATATGCACAATGAGTGCCTGGCATGCCCTCTTCAGGGCTTGGTTTTATTAATATATTCCATGCTAGTTTTTCTCTTTACTGTTTGCTCTTCAACATGAATTTTTCATGTCTCCTTAGAGGAAAACTATCAGCTCACACTCCTCTTAGAACTTTTGGTCCCAAATTAGAGAACATATCCCCTTAAGTCTTGTTGAAAATCTCATTATTAGCTACTCTGTGAAACAAACTGATAGTATAAAGATACATAAAGGAGAATTTACATTTTTAAGGAATCTTAAGAAGGCAGTTGTTTTTAGAATTCATCACAGGGGTTTGGGTTAGCCTTTGTGTTGACCGGGAATACAGTAGTTGGATCACCATTTGGGGTGCAAAGCCAAAGCTTGTTCTTAGTGTATTCTCTTCCTTTAAAGAAAGAGTGAGGGAAAGGGAAAAGCACAAAAGTTTAGATTGATCAAAACTCCCCCCTCCACTTTTCTTCCAGTCTTCTGAAAACTGCCCTGCCCTGGCAGTGGGGTAGCTAAAAGAGGGTGAGTCAGGATTGGTGTGATGAGTGTGCACTGACCGTCACTCTGATTGCCGAGTCTGTTTCAGAAATGGCAAAGGATGAGTAGAACGATGAGATGTCCTTGATTTAATTGCTTTGACCATCTGTGTGGCATAGCTATTTTCTGCAGGAAGCATGAAAGTTGGTATGCAGATGAAGCACAGAAATTCTCATTGGTAGAATCAGTTATAAACAAAGCAGTAAAGTTATCACAGTAGCTGGTGATTATAACGGATTGATTAGGTCCGTGTGGCATTGTGGTCATCTCAATGACTGAATCTGATTGAATGAAATTCTTCCATGGCTATAATTAAAAGATTGATTTCCAAAAGCCAACATTTTCTCTAAATCACTTTCTGCACATAGGTAGAAAATACTTGATCATTATGCACATAATTGAAATTATAACTTTGCAATCCATGTTCTCTGTCTCAGTAATATCTTTATACTGTTTAAATTTTACCTTGGAAAAGTATTTGTTACATATGTTTCCATTCCAAAAGCCTTACCATGTGATTTTTAAAAGTTTTGCTACACAAATTCTTTGAGAGAGAACATGGAAGGTGTTACATTAAGGGAAATAAGCCAGCCACAGAAAGACAAAATACTGAATGATCTCACTTATATGTTAAATCTAAAAATGTTGGTCTCACAGAAGGAAAAATGGAATGGTGGTTAACAGAGACTGGGGTGAAGTGAAAGGGAGCATTCAGTAAGGTGAGTTTTTGGTCAAAGGGCAGAAAATTTTTGTTAGAGGGGAGAAATAAGTTCAAGATATATGATGTACAACATTATGTAGTTAATAACAACATATTACACACTAGAAAACTGCAAAAGTATTTTAATTGCTCTCACCATAAATGAAATATTTGTGAAAATGAAATATTTTCCAAGGTAAAATAATTTCCATGAAATGGAAATTATTCAATTCCTAAAAGAAATGGAACTATTAATATTTAAATGTAGAATTGAGTTAATATTTAAAATGCAATTCATGGCATATCTGATCATTTCAGATGGTTCTGAACATATGGTTGCAGACATTTGTGAATATACTGTTACTTTTTGATGATATTATTAAATATTTTGCCTTTCATTTTCAATTTTAGTTATGTAGCTGTGAAATGAACTAATATAACACCAAGTGCAGATATAATGATCTCATAACTATTGAAATAAGCTCACAAAGCTCTGATATAAAAAATATTCAAAGATAAATTCAAGTTGCCTGCAGTGATTTAATATGAAATGTTTTCATGCTTAAGAATACCCACTTTTTAAGATTAGTTAACAATTAAAACTACTGAATCTGAATTTAAAAGACAATGAAAGGTTTACACTATACTTTAAATAATTAAAGTATAAATTTAAGATGTATCTCTGGCTGAGTAGCTTGCTCTGGGATATACAGTGAAGCAATTTTCTGTTAACTTAGAAATTTTTTATGTCTGCTCATGCTCCTGAGATTTGAATATTAATTTTGCAGGACACAAAGCCAGAACTCATAGGGTGCCATTGTGCTTAACAAAGTAAGCGCCTACTAAGTTTATAACTCTGGAAATGCGACTTTGTAGGTTTTGGTTGTTTGCTTGTTTGGTTTGGCCTTAGAGGACTGGAGAAAGGAATATACCCAAACTGCTCAAGTGCTCAATGGTGTGCTTAAGGAATCTACATATTAATTAAATAAATATTGAAATAAATTACAAATCCCATAATGCACATCATCGCAGTTACATTATAGGTAGATCTCTCGTATGTAGTTAATTTGCACTGGATTCTCCGTGAGCCTTCAGGGTGTTTATGTGGAGAGGAGGCCCCAGGGCTGACGCCTCATCGCAGCCCTCCAGCCCAGTGAAGAATGCTGAGGGCTTTTGTGTCTACCCACTTGGTTCAGTCATGAGTTCCTTTCCTAGCAAGTGAAATAGCCTTTGCTGATGCCCAGCAGACCTATCTCTGTATTACACAGAGATGGTGGAAATCTTTTCACTGGTTTGAGAAATTGGGTCCTTATTTTAAATGACCATTTAAATATACTGAGAAGTTTCCGTTACTTGGCTGTGCTGTTTGCTTTCTGCTGTGTTCTAGTGGTTTGGCAGTAGATTAGAGGTTGGGTTTTCCACCATTTGGTACTAATTATCTGGGAACAATCTGATTTCCATTTATTACATTCACATGGCAATGTTGCCTGTATTTATATTAGAAAAAGGGTTTATTCTGCCCTCCTAGCCTCAGGAACACCTCTGGAAGATTGTTCCATCATAACATGTGGGCACAGCAACTTAAATCAAATTGTTCCTCTTGACTCTTATGGTTGAGTACTTTACATTTTGCTTTGCTGGCTTTAGAAGGTTTTAACCATATCAGACTATTGCCTCAAAGTTAAATGAATAAAATTGCAGTTCTAAGGAACACTGGATCTTCTATTGCTGAGTCAAACAAATGGCTCCCTTTCAATTAAACCCAGTGTTAGATAAAATTCTACCTTCGCATAATCAACTGTGTGGCCACTGATTAGACTTCATAAGGCAATTATAACCTCGAATGTGTACCTCCCTGTGGGTAAACAAGCCTGCTTATTTATTTTTCTCTAGTACTTTCTCAGCTACTCTTGAAGTCAAGATGGACAAGAACAGATTGTGAAAACTCTCAATTATGCAAGCCAAATGTGAATCTTTAAACAAAAGCATAAATTTTAAACATGAACACTGGTACAAGAACATTTGGTGCACACAAGAAATAATTACCAGCCGGCAGCTTCACTTTCATCATCGTGAGTTGCACAGGAGAAAGATGGGAAAGAAGTAAATGCTGTCTAATGGGAAATAAATACATTTCCACTCAGTCCTGACTTCCTGGTACCCGGACAAGTCATCCAGCATTGCCTTGCTCAGGCCTCTGTGATTTTGTGGGTTACTGCACCCATTTAACTTGCAAGCTAGTTGTAAGAACTCTCATGTACTAGGCCTCACAACTAAGAAGTTAATACAGACTCATGGCAGACGTAGAAATCTGAAAAAAGACATCTCTGGGGTTATAAATTCTAACTTAGAAAGTTCATTACTGTAAACAGCTTCTCTTAACAAAGCAATGTTGAACATGTGTCCTAGGAATGAACTTGCAAAGGGTGAATCAGCAGGCAGTCCTGAAAGAGCTGCTGGACCACTTCATTATCTCACGCCATCATCACGGTTATTAGTATCATTTAGTTTTTAACTAGAATATTTTAATTAAAACATAAAAGACTAAATTGTAAATTCATAACTATGTACTTC